ATATATATGTTATTAGGTGGGTGCATGGTTGTTGCACTCGATACCTGCAGCACAATTTAGATGAGTTTGAGACACAAAACAACTGACTGTTTTAAGAGAAATTTTATAATTTGTTCTAAATTTGTGTGAAGACTGAGCCTCTGCAGCTCAAGGTAGGGAATTGAAAACCCTAAGCAGCTAAAATGAACTATTAATTAAGTTAAGTCACAATGGCAGCGTGTTACATTATCTAATAATAACATATCCTCGGCCGACAGGTAAACAGAGCAACAAATAGAAACCTATCAGTCAGCAAGACAGAGTAGAGTTGGAAACATGATCTGAGCCTCGCCTCAAACTGAGTCGATTCACAAACTGCCAGTTGATTGAAAAAAAAAAAGGTTTTAAATGAGATATTTCCAATGGACCCTTCCATCAAAGTACACAAGTTACAGGAAACAATGCCAGTGATATGCWCACTTTCCAGACTTTCACAGAAGTGGAACTGAGCTGTGCGCCACAGTTGGGGAGTTTTTTCATCACTTTGCCCGCAGCGAGCGCAAACCTGCCATAAAGCCCAACATAAAGCAGAGGTAACTCAGATATGGCTGTATCAGTTCTCTGGATCACATTGTCACTGCACATGAGGAAGCTCATTGGGGGCTGGGTGGGTCAGCAGATGTGAGGGGGGGCAGCACAAAGGCTCACCTATTCAGTGTCTGTTAGACAAAGCAACTGAGAGCGAGGTGGATAGAAGGGCCCTGGGGGGCTCCTAACTCGTCTGTCGCTTGGCTGTTGAACTCTGACAATGCTGCGTTTAAAAGCCAGTGGAAAATGATCCTTTCACTTGCTCGATGCTGCGGAGAATGTGATGAATGGCACCGCAGCCACAAATTCAGCTCCAGAAACGCTTGTGTCATTTTTTTCTTTTACGCTACAAGTGCAGAAGATCAAATGCAGTTTTTATTTGCATGAAAACAGGAACATTTTCCAGTTTTCAATTTTTTTTCTAGTTGATTTAAACATTTTCTCATGTTAAAATCACGATGTGTTGTTGAAAGTTCTGACAATGTCCTCATTTAAAGGGGACTTATTGTGCAAAATCCATTTTTGTGCCATTAAATGCATTTTGTTGTATACTTAGAGTCTCTAGGAGTGCAGAAAATAATTTAGTTTCTCCCGGTGCTGCATAGGTATTTTCTCTATTCCATTTTTTTAACTATTAGATCATAGTATTTGAGACGGAACAGACATATAAGGTCTGGACTTATAAGTTAAACAATTTCTTCGTCAAATTATTTAAACGTGAAAACAAGCATTTAAAACATAATTTGTCTCCTTTTTAGAGTGGCTGATCACCTGCCACCAAAAGCAAAAAGAAAAATTAGTTTTTGCTCATGCTTGTTTGTAAGTGTGCTTTGCTTGTTTCTAGTTTTAGCTAAATATCTCAAACTATTGGATGTATTAAAAMAAACATGAAAATTAAATTGACCCCTTCCAATCAGCCCCATGCAAAATGGCACCACAGATAAACACAAAATTGGCTACTTTAGTCAGTTTTATAGATACTGAGCAAAGATTTGGTGTGGTAGTAGCAGATCATCCATATCAGATAGAATGAGCACTAAAACTGTGCAAAGGATCTGTTTTTAACTATGATATCAGCTGTTAGAGTCAACTCTGTTACTGACATATCTCATGAACCAGAGGCAAAAATGAATGAACTTCTCAGTATCTAATTGACTTTTGAAGATTTTCAAGAATACCCCCACAGGTTCTCAGCTTTACTTTGCACAAAAATACAAAACCTCATTCAGTTTTACAGATCCAAATAAGCCAAATGATGGCGATATGATAGTAAGATACAGAAATATTGAATAGGACTCTATAGTTTTTATTGGGTTCAGCTCTGTCATCTCTGAACATGTGATGGGGATTAATTTAAAATATTGGTTTAAAAGGTGATATGCAGTCTTTCAACGAAAGCTATGGCCTTTAAATTTAAAAACAGCTTTGATTTTTTTGGCCATCAGGTGAAAGAAAAGCAGAGCGGGACACTGAAATTCTTCTGTGGATCATTTTCAGAATGATTCATCACAGCTGCCCTGTAGCAGAGCATAATAGCAGCTGAGGGTATTTAGCTTACCATTTGCTCACCCATAAACAAAGAAGGAAATGAAAGATTTTATCATAGTTTTTCATTACTGTGTGCCAGAGCTCTGCACCACCAACTGGGAGAGAAATGAATTCCCCTGGTGCTGTCAGCCCTGAGTCACTCCTTTTGTTCCTGATAAAGACATTCCTTAGTCTTTGTAACTTTTTTTTCAGGTGGTCTGTGGGGGGCTGTGTTAGAAACCTATTCGGATAGGTCACACAATGACAGTGTATGTGCTTGGATTTCACAGGCCCGGCAGACGATTATTTCCAACAATTTTAGTTTTATTGTGTACCTCTGCAGCTGTTTGGATCCTTTATGACAGAATCGTCTAGTCTGAATTTTCTTTTCTTTTGCAACAATAATGTAACAGGATCAGCTGTGCAGGAAAAATATTCAGTGAACTGCTAATCGTTGTTTTTTGTTTTTGTCTCGGCAAATCAATAATTTTTGCGGTTTTTTTTTTTAGGATTCTTTGGTGAACAGTTACTGGAGTACATCCAAAACCTATTTTAAATTAAAATCATGCAGTGATTCATGAGAGATTCTGTTAAACAGGGCAAAAACATTATCATTTACCTTCATCTGAGGCGCCCTCTCATTCTGTACAGAATAATTCCATCTAATTTCTAAGTGTAAAACAAAATGTTAAAACAACTCATTAATATATTTTTCATTATTAAGCTCACTTTTTGAGTGTTAAAATTTTTCCACAAACACTTAATTATTTAGCTCACTGTTCTTACATTTAGCTATTTTTTGCTAAATAGTAGGTTTAAATGGTAATATATACATACATACATATATATATATATATA